AGAGTGTCTGAAAGCCTATTAAAAAATAACCTTATACTGAAGGGTCATAAAGAAGTATAAACAATAGACAAAACTATGTCCTTTCTAGCAAATGGTCCTGATCTACAGTTACACCAAAGAAATTAACAATTATGTGTTTTGCTAGATAATGATACCCCACAGGGCTTCATAGAGCAAAATTCATCAAAGATTCCTCTGAATCATTCATCTTGGGATTATTCCAAAGGGTATAAACAATGGCCTGTTTTATAAAGAAATATCTTAACTGATGCAACATTGATAGCCTAGGACAAATATGTCATGCACTAGAGCCCTAGAGGATCCTTGTTAATGTATTTTATTTATAATAATAATAATAATAATAAAAATTCTCTGGAGAACAAGCCCCATGGATTTCATGTAAAATAAGATTTTTATAGGGGATGCAAGGAGACCAGGATTTACTATCCAATATCTTAAACTGAAAAGTGAATGATTTAAATATTCCTTGGTTTTTGTACTTTAAATTAGAAACAAGACTTTTAAGAGCTACTTGGACATATTTTTAGTGAATTGTTTTATTTAGAAAGTAACCCGTGAAACAAGAAGAGAGACACTAAATGCCCCTTTACACCAGGGAGACAGTTCAATGTACAGTTTTGTTTCATATCAATTGTAGAATTATATAATCTAGAAATGACCAATTATAGGGAGTATTAATTGCCACTAGTAAATACATCTCAAATTGAACATTTCATATATAACTCTACATTCCATTTTTGTCTTGTAATAAAATTTTAAAGGGCCTGTTGTCTAAAATATATGGTATACTAATTAGAATGTATGTCTTTATGATATTACTGTTCAAAGTACAATGGGGGCTTTTCCCATACACTCAACTTACTAACTCCTATTTTTGGGGGGAGGGTAGACAATCCACAAACACTGGAATCAGTTTCAAAAGGGTTCTTCTGCACATCTGCACCCCTCTGTATTTTAACAGTTGTGGAGTCAGTTTATTTGCTTCTGTACTACCTTAAATAATCAGGATTTTCAAGGAAGGGTGGTAGCATTATCAGTGCATCACAGCACACCCCCCCCCTTTTAGGCATGTTTATTTTGATATATTGACATACTACTGAAATGATAGGTCAAACAAGTTCCCTCAATTCTCAGCTTCCTTTTTTATTTAAAAAGCAAGTCTCTATTCCTTCTCCTCACAGAGATAGAAGGAAGGAGGTATATCTCTGTGAGAGAAGAAGATAGAAACTTACTTTTTAAAATGAAGGCTGGAAATTCAGAGAAGCTGTTTAATCTATCATTATAGCAGTATATCAATATATTGATATTTTAGTGCCTTTTGTAAAAAAAATGAAAATAGAACCATTTATCTTTAGGGCAGGGAGGAAGGAGGAGTGGTTTGATGATGACGACAGTTGAATCATCAAAAAGTGGTCTGGAAGAGCATGAGAGTGGGCGGAACAAAGAAAACCAATAGAAATATTATGCATGAGGGAAAAGGCAAAATCAGCTTCCAGGAAAAAAAAACTGGGGTAAAAGTGGTCTCAAAGGAATCAGGAAAAAGCCTAGGGAAAAACCAAAAAGTCCAAAGTGAAAACTAAAGGCACAAAATTCATGCAGAAATCAGGTGATAAACCACAGGATAAACCAACAAAGCATGGGGCCATAATGTCACGGTCATGACACATAACCCATGAAAAGAAAATCCATGCAGAAAAGCCCTGGGACAGAATGATAGTACAACAATATCCTTGGATGTTTGGTAATTCTGTTTGTACAAAAGTTTATGTACCTCTAGAAGTAAGGCCCATTGTGGGAAGAAATACAACAAGCTCTAGAAGGAAGCTCCAGGTGAGTGTCCCGGCTGTGGCTGGTGGGGCAGCAGAGGGAAGGGGGGGGGGTAAAAGTCAAATAATAAAAAATAAAATAAATTAAAATAAATAAAAGAGGGAGGCAAGCCATGTTTATTTCCTTCTGCTTAGCTGTAAGGCAGGGCTGTTTCAAGTCATTTTGCTGCCCAAGTGGGTAGTATGGGAGGACAGCCTCATGGTAACAGGTATGGTTCCCTCCACCCCTGACTTATGTTGATTTGGGGTTATGCAGTGGCAGCTAAGGTAGAAAACCACCTCCTCCTATGCCATGTCTTCTGGGTTCCAAGGGTCTGGAAAGTGGTTCCATAGCCAGTTACAGGGTTGCCAACTCTGGGTTGGGAAATACCTGTAGATTTGACGGATAGAGCCTGGGGAGGGCAGGGTTTGGGGTGGGGATTGACCTCAGCAGGATATAATGCCATAGAGTCCACTGCCCAAAGCAGCCATTGTAATAGCTGAGAAATTTTCTGTAGGGGAAATTATGTGCTATGGCTGCGGAACAGTGATTTCTGGGAGATCTCCAGGCCCCACAGGGAGATTGGCAACTCCAGTGACCATTTAAGGGAAGATTGTGATATGTATTTTACCTCAGGACACATTCAATGACTCCCAACAGCAACAACAAACCGTTTAGAATGTTAGAGGCAAAGGGCAATCAGGCCACATACGCAAATGACCTCTGTGTTCCAACTGGCTATTGGGGGGAGAGGAAGAACAAACTGTTTAGAATATTGGAGGCGAGACTCAGGCAACGCAGCCAATGGATAGGGACAGCTTCTGAGTGACAGATCAGAGAGTCAAGTGATTTGGGAGCGTGTGGAATGTTCAGGAGAGTCCAAGACCAAAACAGAATTATTGTATAGAGAGATTGATCTGCCTTTTAAGATGACTGAGATTTATCAAAATCAACATGCTGTTTGTTGGCAGCCTGGGAAACCTTCAGCAGATTATGTAATCAGCCTTCAGTAAAAGGTAAAGGTAAAGGTTCCCTTGCTCGAAAGCCAGTCGAGTCGGACTCTAGGGTTGCGGTGCTCATCTTCATTTCAAAGCCGAAGAGCCAGCGCTGTCCGAAGATGTTTCCGTGGTCATGTGGCCGGCATGACTAAACACCAAGGCGCACGGAACGCTGTTACCTTCCCACTGAAGTGGTACCTATTTATCTACTTGCAATTTCTTGCTTTCGAACGGCTAGGTTGGCAGGAGCTGGAACTAGAGACGGGAGCTCACTCCGTCATGCGGCACACTTGGGTCTCGAACTGCTGAACTACCAACCTTCCACAGCCTGCAGTTCAGCGACTTAACCACTTGAGCCACCACAGCTCCTTTTGGACATTCCCAGTACTCTCTTACAAAGAACATCACCCTGTAAAAGGCCCCCCTCCCTCTGAAATTCCCTACCTCTTCAGGACCAGCAATTATATTGGTAATGCAGATGATGTTTCTGAGGATGCACAGCAAAGTGTAATTTCCTGAAAAGGATGGTTGTCTTTAGTGCAGCGAAACCCTCCTCTCTGCTGGATTCTACAAAGCCCATACACATCTCTCCATCAGGCCCGTGAATTCACTCTGTAGAGCTTACAATGACCCAGGATATGAGCATAGTATAGGAGACTGAACTAAGCCTGTGTCCTCTTGACACCATCTCTTTATGGCTGAATTGCTGCTAACACTAGCTAGTGTTTCAGGGCTTCCTTTTTAAACCACCAATTTCACTATAGGTGGACAATGGACTTTCTCTTCTCCTCACATGAGACAAGGAAGCATAAAACAGTTCTGGACTCTTGCCAGCCACTGTTGTAGCCTGTGGAAGAGGAGACAAGTTCCTCAGAACTACGGCAGGGCATTGGCAGCAAAGAGTGCGGTCTGTTTCAGAAATGCCTTCCAAGCTACTGCACGCCAGTCCATCTGGGACGATTCACTGGCTGCTGAGGCAAACACGGAACCTGATAAATGTTCTTTCTGCCCAGATATTGTCTAAAGATACCTTTCTTCTGTCCCTATATAAAACTGGAGCTGCTCACATAATGGGTTGGATCCCACAGATCTGTCCTGGTTATGGTGCTGCCTTCCTCCAGCAAGCCAGAAGAAGGTGGCACCATTCATTAGATCCATGAGCTCCAACCCAATAATTAAATATTAGGACGTTTGTGCACAGAATTCCAGAGGCCAAATTCAACCCCTTTTTCCTTTATGTACTTTTTCCTGTCCCATTTCTCCAGACATCATTTGCTCCAAATGCCTAACAAGTTGATTGAAAGGATTTCTACTTTACACCAAAACAGCAGTTTAGAGACTGATAGAAAACACCGGCACAGTAATCTCAAGAGCAGACAAACTCTGCACATAGCAAACGGAAATATAAAACAGGATGGGATCAGCCAAATGCATGTCAAAATCTAGTGAAATAAAGAATGTCAAAATAACATGGCTTGCTTGCACAACTAAACACTCATAATGAAAATAAATGAGGAAGCCCTATCCCCCAAATGAGATCTTGGTGATTAGGCAGGTTCATACAGGAAGGACAGAGTTCTGGCTCTGCCTAAAATCCTAAACACAGCACCTTTGGCACCTTGGTGGGAGGACAGGATACAGATGTAAGAACAAAAGAACAGCAGCAGTCAGCAGTTTTGTGTCGGGCCAATTTTCCATCGAGAATAATTTCCTGTTTGTACACTTGCTATGATTTTGCACGTATTGTCATTGCTTTGTGCAATGGTGTCTTTGTTACATCCTTGAGCCTCCCACTGGATGAAAAAACAGTGAGAGGAAAGTAGCATGGATATAATTTTATGGGGGGGGGGGGAGGCAGAGACAGGGAAACAAAAACGACTCCAAAATAAAGTACTATGGGTTTGATTTGCAAAAGGGAGAAGCAAAATGAAAATTAGGGTTGCCAGCCTCCAGGTGGGGCCTGGGGATCTCCCGCTTTTACCACTGATCCCTAGCCGACAGAGATCAGCTCCCCTGGAGAAAATGGCAGCTTTGAAGGGTGGACTCTATGGCATTGTACCATGCTGAGGCCCCTCCCCTCCCCTCCCCAAACCACGCCCTCTCCTGGCTCCACCCCCAAAGTCTCCAGGTATTTTCCAACCCAGACTTGGCAACCCTAAAGAAAATGGAGTTTTGGGGGGTGGTCAAAACAGAATGTCTGAGGAATTCTCAATCTGCAGGGGTGAACTGGGGGTGGCAAAGCCTCTCAGGAACAAGCTGGGCCAAGCACAGCAGCGCCAGGAGCACCGCAGTGGCATCCAGGGCAGAGCCAAGCAGCCCCAGCAGTGCTGCCAGTTCCAACGGCAGTCAGCTCAGCTTGATCCTGGCTACCAGTAAGCCTCACAGGACAGTAGCCCATCAGCAACTTCCCCAGTAATTCAAAAGATCATCCTATCCCTGGAAATCATTGCTACTTTTCAGTCAAGTCGTATTAAGCATTCCAAAGTAATTATCCAAGATGGAGTCCCTAAAGCTAGTTCTGCACTAGCAGTTTAATCAGCATTTGCCATGATCCATTTTCCTGGACCATCCAGGTGACACTGTGGTCACTCCACTGCATTCTGAATACACTACAGTGCCAAAATAAATATATTAATTAATTGAACGCACTAAGAAGGCATGTGTTTTGTTTGATTCAGAGGCCATCAGAGGTCAGTCCTAGATGTCGGAGCTGTGTGTTTCGGGGCCAGCTCTTTAATCAAGTTCACCAAGTCTGTTTTTTCGATGCATGCTCGGCACACCTCTCCCCAGCTATCCAGGATCTTCTTCAGCTCCGCCACTCTCATCTTCGAGAGGTCCACTGATGTTAAGTCAAAGTTTCTTTCTGTAAAAAGAAATAGCCTGAGAAACATGCTCTATTGATTTCATTCTTTATTTTTGTTTCCCATCCCAAAAATCAACCTCCCAGGACTCATCCAAAAAGATGGCTTTCCCATCTGGCCTACTAGTGCGCATGACACTGTTTCCTATAGTAGCCAATCTGTACAAACTGGCATGTTGGTGACTGTCATCCTTCATTGTTTGTTCCCAGCATGTACTCTACAGCCTATCGATATAAAGGTTCTGTCAAGCTGTCATAAGCTAATAGCTTTGGGTAGATTTGTGAAAGGTTGAACTATCTACTTCTTTTTATAGCCTAAGCTAGTGGCCATTGCTACATCCTGTGGCAGTGACTTCCACAATTTAATTATGTTATATGAAAAAATACTTATCTTGGCTGCTCTGAATTCATTGTCTATCCGATTGGTTTATTCTGGGAAAGGAGGAGGAAAAACATTTTTTCTGCTTTTTCCATCCCATGCATCATTTTATAGACCTCTGTCAGGTCCTGTTTTGACCCACATGCTTCTGCCTTTCCACAGAGAGTAGCTGCACCAACTCCTTGATCACTTCAGCTGCTCTATTTTGTACCTTTTCCTTTTAAGGCAGTGACCAGAACAATACACAGTATTCTAAATGTGAATATACTGAAAGCTTAGTCCTTAATCCTTGACATAGATTTGAGCGAAGAAGAAGAAGAAGAAGAGATTGGATTTATATCCCACCCTTCACTTGGAGTCTCAGAGCGGCTTACAAACTCCTTTCCCTTCCCCTCCCCACAACAGACACCCTGTGAGGTGGGTGGGGTTGAGAGAACTCTGACACAAACTGCTTTCAGGAACAGCTGTGCCAGAGCTTATGACTGACCCAAGGTCACATCAGCAGGTGCAAGTGGAGGAGTGGGGAATCAAACCCGGTTCTTCCAGATTAGAGTCTGCACACTTAACCACTACACCAAACTGGCTCTCAACCAAACTGTGATCATACTCCAAAAGTTCTTTAGCCATGTATTTGTTTTGAGGGTAATGAGTTTGGGTAACTTCCTTTTACAAAAAGGATCCCCCCCCCCCCCCCAAAAAAAATTCATTCTGTGACAGGCTAAATCCATGAAGCAGTACATTACAGATCTGCTTTTGAAAGGCCACCTGGGATTTCCTGTGAAATGCTAACAGGTGAGAGTAGCTGGTTTTGAATAACTAAACCAAGTGGTGGTTGAAGGGTTAAACCTCACCCACATAGCTCTTAGGCAAACTGAGGCTGCATAAGCCTAGTTGACATTTGATGGGCAGTTGGAGTAGCATGAACTTCCACTCCTCTGTTTATACCTTGCCAGGGAACAACAGCACAAGGAAAATAGCCAGCAGACAATTTACTTCCTGTATAAAAATCACTTACAAAAAAAGCCAGGAATGTTGTGCGATCAATGCAGCCTACCTGAGCTGTTAATACAGAGTGCTTCTGCCTCTCTTTGGAACGTTTAAAAACACTGACACCAGTGAATGATACCAAAATGCAGAAATTTGACAAAGGAAAGTGATATTCATTCAGATTATTTGGTTTGTTTTAAACATCTGCTTAACTCAAAGGCATTCTCTACCATTTCTAACATACACAGGAGAGACAGCAATTTCAAGAATGTGAAACCAGTCATCCAGGTGAATCATATGGCAAAAGCCAGGACCAAGTGGCTACCACTCTTTTACTGAATGGTGGAACTCAGAAGTCCACCTTTAAAGACATGCTTGAGTTATAAATAAAGAGCTAAACTAAATGTGATGGTGTTCTCATGGCCATCATGAGGACACTACTGCCATTTTAAAGGTATCTTAAAAGGCCGCGAGGGCCTGATCCTGATCAGGCCTGCAGCGTGGCACTCTTGACACACACCCCCCCCACAACTTTTCAAGTGCCAAAATAGCCTGTCCCTCCACCAGCTGTTTTGGCACTTGAAATGGTGTCAGGGAAGGGAGCACTGTGCTGTAGGCCCAATGAGGACTGGGCCCTTGCAGTATTTTAACATTCTTTAAAACGCTGCTGGTGGTATCCTCATGGTGGCTATGAGGATGCTGTCACATTTAGTTAGGCCCTAAAATACAGGGGGAGGGAGGGGGAAGCTCTGCAAAAGCCCAAAACAGCTTAAAAATGAGAATTTGGAGAAGCTTCTATGGAAAACTGCAGCTGCTGCTCACAGCAAATGATCCACAAGAAGTGCACTGTCATACATGGAAGCCAGAAGTGGCCCCCACAAACAGCACAGCCATGTCCATTTGCCCTAGTTGTACTGTGATCACTATGCACAAAGCCAGCAGTGGGGTTCCTGCTTTAAAATAATGAACTCTGAATGTAACTGGATTGCCAGGCATGCTTGATGGTTCTTCTGTCCTGCATACCAAATTTGAGCTCACAGATTTGAAGGTCTATTTTCTTCAGCTTCTCACAGATTTTAGGCACGGGTATATGAGCGCTCATTGGGCGGCTGACTTCATTGATGATCTTGGTAGCAGCATCACTAGTGGCTCCAATGTAATAGCACTATGGAAAGAACGGAAAGCCCTACTGTCAGCATTAATTTTATGTTGGTGGTGAGGGCGAGAGATAGCCATCCTACCTCTACTCCTGCCTAAGCTCTCTCAGTTGGAGGCATTTTATCTCAAGTATTTTTAACAAAGAGAGAAAGGAAATCATACCAAGCGGTTTTCTTTTCCTTTTGCATCCGCACAACTTTTGACTAGTTCATTCTCTATAGAGGCCACAGAGAAATCCGAATGTTTTTCTTTTAAATAACTGTAAAATCTGCCCAGAAAAGCTTGACACACTGTAATGGGGGGAAAAAAGGGAAAACATTAAAACATGTACACAGAATGTATGAACAAAACAGTAAGATGCAAAGTGGACTGCAGGCAATATTCCATTTGTGTTCCATAAATATCAAAAGGATAACATCACATACAACATTTTTTGTGCTTGCTTCTGTTTTAGAGGATACATTTGCCATCTTTGTCGTGTATGCCCATTATGTTTGGAAACAGGCCTATTGGGGAACTGGTAGATTTCTGCATCCCAAGATGGGTGCTTGTAGCGCATACCAGTAGGGTTGCCAAGTAGTTGCAGTCGCCGCAGCGGGGGACTCCCGGGCGGTGACTGGAGTGCGCGCGAGCGCGCCGCACGCACACCACCCGAAAGTGACGTTAGGACGCCGGGCACGCTGGGGGCGGGGCCATGACCCTTGGAGAGAAAACCACAGAGTTTTCACTCTGATGGTCATGGCCCCGCCCCCAGCATGCTTGACATCCTAACGTCACTTCCGGGTGACACACACGTCGGGGCAGGGTTCCCCCCAGGGCCCGCTCCACCAGCGGCGGGGAATGGGCCTCTGGGGCGGGGGTTTCCCCACCCCCCAGGGGGACTTGGCAGCCCTACATACCAGTGAACATAAGAGATCCAGACCAAATTGTCCACTAACAGAACAGAACTTCCCTGCCTCTTCCCTCCCACTGCAGCCCACTTATCTCCATGAAATGCTGCTCCTAGAGGATAGGGGATGCTGAGCGTCTGCAGTGGGACCAGTGGAAATGGCTAGTTTAATATGGATCCAACGCAGTCTGTCCCCCAGAGCTTGTCCTCCTTTTCTCCTGGGATGGTATACACTCACAGCCACAGCTTTGGGATCCTGAATTAAACTTTGTTGGTCTTAAAGGTGCCACTGGGCTCAAACTTTGTTCAGCATGGGGATCATGTAGCCCTCTGATAGCCAACTGCTAGTTTCTGGGCAGAACCTGCTAGTGAACTCCAGGTCTCTGGAATCAGTTGGAATTGAAAATTTGCAATGGAGGAGATAGAGAATGTTTATCTTTCAATGCTTCCATTTGCTTCCTAGTTCTGTGGTGGAAACAAAGCCTCCTGTGACTCCCTCACTCACAAATGAATGTGTAAGTTGCTTTCAGAAGAAACATAAGGAACATGCTCACTCTGACTGTGTTATGGAGGAAATGAGGGAGTCATGGAACACAGAGCTCTCATCTGCTAAAGGTCTGTGTTGGGAAGCTGCTAAGGAGCAAGAACAGAGCCACAAAATAAAGCCCCCCTCTCTACCTCATACTGCTTCTTATTAGTTTTAAGCAGATTACTATAATATGCAAAAAGCTAGACCTTATTTGAATGGCTGTGAAAATCTATCACACGTGCATAAAATTTCACTGCTAAAAGAGTGATGATAGAGGTAATGTCTCCATATGATCTGTTTTGGAGCAAAGGAAGAATTAAAAGATTTCTAGGCTCATAAAATTGATTGTATTCAAAGGTCAAGTGATACAGGGTATCTACACTACCTGCACCACAGACACATACTCCATCAGAGTATAGTATCTTAAGATATCTCCCTTGCAAAACTCTACATAGTAGGGCATTAAGGCAGGCCAACATAAAGGTATACTTATAGCGAGGAACAGCCAAATATAAGCAGTAATCTGGGAGCTATCCAGGTGGAAGAATACCAACAAATTAAACAGAACGAACATATTGTGTTCTATAGATTGTACTGTTCTAATCCTACTTATAGACATTTCTCGATCATTTTGATGGCTTCCTGACTAGTAACTAAATAAAGGGAGTTCAAGGAAAGATTGAGGAACTGTAGCCTGCTTGACAAGTTTATTCCAGTGGGAAACATAAGCATCCTCTCTGACTAAGCCAAGGGAGCCCTCTTGGATGGCAGAGTGTAAAGTTTTAGCTTTAAGGGGAAAAGCCTTCAACCAGGCCCGAGCTTCAAGAGATGGCTGTCCCAATGCAACTCAGATGGTTACCCCCACTACACAATTTGAAATTCCGCAGATGGAACGTAGGAATTTAAGAAGAGTTGAATCAAAAGTCTCCTCTATTTGTCAATCCACATAACAGCCCCATATAAACTTTGTGTCACCACCTTGGCATTAAATATTTTATGGCGGCTGGGATATACTGCGCCCCAGATGAATAAAAGAAACCGATTTTTTTAGCAAGAGCAACTTGCACTGAACAAGTCATACCAGACCCCTAAATATTTAACCTCCTCAATATCATTACCATGAATTTTCCACATTGTGTACATGAGATTTCCCCCAAAAAACAACAATCTTGGATTTTTGATAGTTAACTATCAGGCGTTTTTCCATACAGTAAAAGACAAAAGCCTCTATCAGACAGTCCTGATGTTGTTCGTGATAGAACTGCCTCATCACAAAAAGTAGGATAGAAACCTTAACGTTAGCAATGGATGGAGAATAACAGTCCTGGGCAGAGACAGCAGAATCATATAGTTAATATATAAATTAAACATAAATTTATTTATTTATTTATTGCTTCTATTT